CGTGACGATCTCGAATCCCCAGCTGACATTTGTCGGCGATGACCTTGTCCACGCCCGTGGACCCTCCAATTAAGGCCTTCGGTGGATCCCTATGGGCACACGGATCGTGTGAGGGGCGGGCCGAGTGGGGCGGGTGGGCGCGAGCGGACCCTACCATTGGGGCCGTCGGTGGAGTCCCTACGAGGGCACTAGACATGTGAAAGGCGTGTCGAAATGAGACGCGGGGACGCATGGGGGCACTGCATCTGGGGCCTTCGGTGGAGCTTCCTATGGGGGCGCGAGGTGTGTGTCATTATGATGCCAAAATGGTTGCGCGGAGGGCAGAGGCAAGGCAGGGATGGGAGGAGAGAGGAGAGGGAGAAAGAGGAGGACTGACGCGGTGCGATGTCTCTTCAAAACGAGGACCCAAAACCACAGGACGGGCGGGACTTATCCTGACGTGAGACCCATAGATTTGCACTTGTGACTACCGCGTTATGGCCATCGCTTTCGGTGGAGCTCCCTATGGGGCCACGAAAAGTGTGAGTGATGCCCCGAAATTGGTGACCAACCGCATGCGAACTGCGCCACGGAGCCACGGTGGAGCTCCCTGTGGGGCCACGAAACGTGTGAGTGGTGTGCCGAAATGAATGGGGAACCACATGCGCACTGCGCCACGGAGGCACTCGGTCGAGCTCCCGATGGGGCCACGAAACGTGTGAGGAATGCGATAAAATGAATGGAGAACAGCGTTCGAACTACGCCACGGAAGCACGCGGTGGAGCTCCCTATGGGAACACGAAACGCGTAAGGGCGGGGCCGAAACGGGCGTGACGCCCACATGCGAACTGGGCCACAGAGGCACCCGGTCGAGCTCCCTACGGGGCCGCGAGACGTGTGAGGAATGTGCCGAAACGGGCGTGACGCCCACATGCGAAACGCGCCACGGAGCCTTTTAAAATGGAGCTCCCTATTGGGACACGAAACGTGTTAGGGGTGTGCCGAAACGGGCGTGACGCCAACATGCGAACTGCGCCATGGGGGCCTGAAAAATGGAGCTCCGTATGGGGCCACGGAACGTGAGGGTGTGTGTGTGTGTGGAAACGGAAGTGACGCCCACATGCGAAACGCGCCACGGAGGCACTCGGTGGAGCTCCCTGTGGGGCCACGAGATGTGATGGGTGTGCCGAAACGAGGGTGACGCCCACATGCGAACTGCGCCACGGGGGCACACGGTGGAGCTCCCTATGGGGCCACGAAACGTGAGGGTGTGCGGAAACGGAAGTGACGCCCGCGCCACGGAAGCACTCGGCGGAGCTTCCCATGGTGCCACGAAACGGGAGGGATGTGCGGAAACGAAATTGACGCCCACATGGGAACTGCGCCACGGATGCACTCGGTGGAGCTCCCTATGGGGCCACGATACGTGTTGAGGGGTGTACAGAAACTGGCGTGACGCCCACACGCGAACGGTGCCACGGGGGCCTTAGATGGAGCTCTCCGTGGAGCCACCAAACGAGTGAGGAGCGTGACGAAACAGGCTTGACGCCCACATGCGAACGGTGCCACTAGCGCCTTAGGTGGAGTTCCTTGTGGGGCCAACGTGCGAGTGGTGTGCCGAAACGGGCGTGACGCTCACATGCGAACTGTGCCTCTAGAGCCTTCTGTGGAGCTCCCGATGGGGCAACGAGACGTGTTGGGGGGTGTGCCAACGACCAAAATGGCAATGATGGTGATGGTGGCGTCGATGATGGTGATGATGATGATGTTGATGGTGATGGTGATGATAGTACTGACAATAATAATAATAATAGTTATATATATATATATACATAGATATAATAATATAAAACAAAAAAACTGATAACACATAGTGATGAGAATAATAAAGGTGATAATAATAAGCATCATCATCAGCATCACAATAATACTACTAGCAGTAGTAACGATACTGATGATGCTGATGATGCTGATGATGATGGTGGTGATGGTGGTGATGATGATGGTGCTGATGATGGTGGGGGTGATGGTGATGATGATGTTGAGTATGATGTTGATGTTGATGTTGATGATGATGCTGATGATGATGGTGATGATAATGATAATGATGATGATGATGATGATGATGATGATGATGATGATGATGATGATGTTGATGGTCATGATGGTGTTGGCGATAGTGGTACTGAATGTGGTGATGCTAATTATGATGCTGGTGATGACGATGACAACGATGCTGATGATGATGGTGGTGATGATGATGCTGGTGATGATGGTGGTGATGATGATGATGGTGGTGATGATGATGGTGGTGCTGGTGATGTTGGGGGGTGAGAGGAGGGGCAGCGGGAGGAGGGAGAACGCGGGGCGCTGTCTCTTCAAAACGAGGACGCAACACCACAAGATGGTTGGAAAATTAGCCTGGCGAAGAATCCAACCATAGCAAGTTGTGAGTACCGCAATTGTGAGTACGATCTGAGGTGAAACTCCCTAGAAGGCAACGCCCGCATGCGGGCTGTGCCGCTGGGGCCTTGGGTGGGCTCCCTGTGGATCCACGAAACGTGTGAGGGGTGCGCCGAAACGGGAGTGTCGCCCAAATGCGGGCTGCGCCAATGGGGCCTTAGATGGAGCTCCCTGTGGGGCCATGGAACGTGTGAAGGGTACGTCGAAACGGACGTGACGCCCACATGCGAACGGTGCTACTGGTGCCTTAGATGGCGCTCCCTATAGGGGCCACGAAACGTGTGAGGGGTATGCCGAAACGGAGGTGACGCCCACATGCGAACGGTGCCACTGGGGCCTTAAGTGGAGCTCCTTGTGGGGCCGAGAAACGTGAGGGGTGTGCCGAAACGGGCGTGACGCCCACATGCGAACTGTGCCTCTGGAGCCTTCTGTGGAGCTCCCGATGGGGAACGAGACGTGTTGAGGGGTGTGCCAACGATCATGATGGCAATGATGGTGGGGGTCCATGTGGGGGGTCCCTGTGGGGCCAAGAACTGTGTGAGGGATGTGCCGAAACGGGGGTGGCGCCCACATGCGAACTGTGCCACTGGGGCCTTCAAAATGGAGCTTCCTGTGGGGCCATGGAACGTGTGAAGGGTATGTCGAAACGGGCGTGACGCCCACAGGCGAACAGTGCCACTGGTGCCTTAGATGGCGCTCCCTATGGGGCCACGAAACGTGTGAGGGGTATGCCGAAACGGAGGTGGCGCCCACATGCGAACGGTGCCACTGGGGCCTTAGGTGGAGCTCTCTATGGGGCCACGAAACGTGTGAGGGGTGTGCCGAAACGGGCGTGACGCCCACATGCGAACTGCGCCACGGAGACACTCGGTGAAGTTTCCGAGGGGGCAACGATATGGCTGAGGGGTGTGCCGCATCGGGGGTGACACCCACATGCGAACGATGCCACTTGGGCCTTAGGAGAAGCTCCCTATGGGGCCCCGAAGCGTGTGAGTGGTGTGCCGGAAAGGAGGTGACGCCCACATGCGAAAGGTGCCACTGGGGCCTTGGGTGGAGCTCTCTATGGGGCCACGAAAAGTGTGAGGGGTGTGCCGAAACGGGCGTGATATCCACATGCGAACTGCGCCTCAGAGGCACTCGGTGGAACTCCCTACAGGGCCACGAAATCCGTGAGGGTTGTGCCGAAACGGGCGTCACGCCCACATGCAAAGGCGCTACGGAGGCACTCGTTGAAGCTCCATGTGTGGCCACGAAACGTGCGAGGGGTGTGCCGAAACGGGCGTGACGCCCACATGCGAACTGCGCCACAGTGGCACTCGGTGAAACGCCCTATGGGGCCCCGAAACGTGTGAGGGGTGTGCCGAAACGGACGTGACGCCCACATGCAAACGGTGCCACTGGGGCCTTAGGTGGAGCTCCCTATGGGGCCACGAAACGTATGAGGGGTGTGCCGAAACGGGCGGGACGCCCACATGCGAACTGCGCCACGGGGGCACTCGGTGGAGCTCCCTATGCGACCACGAAGCGTGTGAGGGGTGTGCCGAAACGGGGGTGACGATGACGGCAACGGTCACGACAATGATGTGAATAACAATGATAAGGGTAAGAATAACAATAATAGCAATAACGATAATAGTAACAATCAAGAACATAATGGTAAAATTGATACGAGTACTAGAAAATCATACAGATCAGTACGCGAGTACTACTATAACACATACAGTACGAATAATGATAAAAAAGAATGCGACTGATATGATCATGAGTAATACGAAATGATTACGCTGCTGGCGAGAGTGATACGAAAAATCATAACGATGATGCTGATATTGCTGGTGATGGTGATGGTGTTGTGGTGAGAATGACGATGATGCTGATGCTGATGATGACGATGATGATGAAAATGATAGTGATGATGGTAATCATGATGATGATGGTGATGATGATCGTGCAGGGCTGAACATAAACGGAATTGCTCTTTTTCGTTGTGTTTTCATGTTCCCTCATTGTGTGTTCAATCCGCCTTAAACGCAAAACGAAAGCGAAACGAAAACGGCCCACGAAATCGCAAAAACGCCGTTTAGGTTCACCCCTGTGATTATGATGATGCTGATAATGATTATGATGATGGTGGTGATGATGAAAATGGTGATGAGGATGTTGATGATGATAATGATGCTGACGATAATGATAATGATGCTGATGATGACGACGGTGATGATGATGATGATGATGATGATGATGATGGTGATGATAATGATGATGATGATGATGATGATGATGATGATGATGATGATGATGATGATGATGATGGGAAGAGTATTGGAGGAGGAAGGAAGGAAAAGGAACGCAGGGCGCTGTCTCTTCAAAACGAGGACCCATTGCCACAGGATGGTTGGGAAAAACATCAGGGTCGCGCCCTAGTGCATAATCCCTCGGACATAAAACCAGATTCGCGCCCACGAGCTCACGACCCCCAAATCTACACCAGAGTCGCGCTCCCGACGCCACAATCCCTCGTAAGTTACGCAAGGTTCGCGCCCCCGAGGCCTCAGTCCCTAGTGAGCAGCACCAGAGTCGCACTCACGGAGCCATAATCCCTCCGATGTTACCTCCAGAAGTGCGCTCCCGAAGCCACCATCCCTGGTGAAGTGCGCCAGACTCGCGTTCCCTAACCCACAGCCCCTCGCAGAGTAAGCCAGGTTCGCGCTCCCAAGGCCATAGCGCCTTCGTAAGTTACGACAGCGCTGCGCCCCCGAACCCACAATCCCTTGAAAATTGCTACGCGCTGGCGCTCTCATGCAAATTACGCCGGGCTCGCGTCCCCCAAGCCACAATCCCTCGTAGATTACACACGCCAGCAACCAACCAACCAACTAAGGGTGGCCATGCTAGCAATCCGAGGAGAGGCAGCAGCAGAGGGCGAAGCTCGCCAAATATATGATGTGTGTCGATTGGTTCTGGCGCCAGGAACCGAGTTCATCATCATCATCATCATCATCATCATCATCATCATGATCATCATCATCATCATCATCATCATCCTCAGCAGCAGCAGCAGCATAATCAGCATAATCATCACCAGCAGAATCAGCATCAGCATCATTGTCATCAGCATCCGCATAATAATCTTCAGCATCATAGTCATCAGCATCATCAGCACCATCAGAATCGTCATCATCAGTTTCAGCATCATCGTCATCGTCATGCAGCAGCATCATCAGCATCAGCATCATCGCCATCGTCATGCAGCAGCATCCTCATCAGCATCCGCATAAACATCATCAGCAGTATCGTCATCATCAGCATCATCAGCATCATCAGCAGCATCATCAGTATCATCAGAATCATCGTCATCATCATCATGTTCATCATCATCGCCGTCGTCATGCAGTAGCATCATTATCATCAGCATCCGCATCATCGTCATCGTCATGCAGCAGCATCATCATCAGCATCATCATAATTATCATCATCAGCAGCATCGCCATCACCATCACCAGCAGCAGCATCAGCATCAGCATCAGCATCTAGGTGAGTCGTCACCCTCAGCATCACCCTCATCATATCAGCATCATCAGCAGTATCATCATCAGCAACAGCAACAGCACCGCCACCAACATTGAACCACCATCCTCTACAACAGCATTCTCATAATAATCCGCCTCATCATTACCATCGCCACCACCACCACCACCATCGTCATCATCAGCATCACAAGAATCGTTACCGCCAGCCTCAACATCATCGATACCAGCATCAACACTGAGTCCTCATCATCATCCTCACCTCCCGTATCAGTCACCATCATCAGCGTCAACACCATCAGCAACAACATGATCATCATCAGCGCCATCACCATCATCATCATCATCATCATCACCACCACCACCACCACCATCATCATCATCATCATCATCATCATCATCGTCAGCAGCATCATCATGACCAGCATCGACATCGTCGTGATCATCATCATCATCAGCAGCAGCAGCAGTCTCATCATCATCAGCATCATCATTACCACCTGCATTGTAATGATTACCATCATCAGCAGCAACAGCATCATCATCACCATTACCACCACCACCATCAGCATCATCATCATCAGCGGCAGCATCATCAGCAGCATCATCATCGTAAGCATGCCCATCCGTCCAACATCCTCCCCCTCGTCCCTCCTTCCCTCCTCCACCTCCTCCTTTTCCTCCTCTTCCTCCTCCCTCTCCCTTCTCCTCCTCCTCCTCCTCCTCCTCCTCCTCATCCTCCTCATCATCATCATCATTATCACCATCCTCCTCCTACTACTCATTCCTCCTCCTCATCCTTCCTCCTACTCCTCCTCCCTCCTTCCTCCTCCCTCCCTCCTCCTCCTCCTCCTCCTCCTCATCATCATCATCATCATCATCATCATCATCATCATCCACATCCTCATCCTCATCCTCATCCTCATCCTCATCCTTCCTCCTCGTCCCCCTCCTCCTCCCTCCTCCTCCTCCTCGTCCTTCTCCCTCCTTCTCCTTCACAGTGCTCCCTCCTCCCCGATCCTCGATCTTAGATCACCCGACCCGACCCCTGGCCGCCGATCCCCGCCCGGCGGCGTCCTGGCGATGCGCTGTATGACGCGCGAGGCGCGGGTGGCCAGAAACGTGTCCGCGAGCCGGTCGTGCTCCCTCCTCGTGTTGACCAGGAGCTCCTGCCCCGCGCGCCCGAGCCCGCGCCGCGAGGGGAGGGGGAGGGCAACGGGGGGGGGAGGGGAACAGGGGGGGGAAGGGGGGACGAGGAGGAGAGGGAGGAGAGAGGGGCCAGAAGGGGGAGGCGAGGGGGGAGGAGGGGGGGGAGGCGGAGGCAGGGGGGAGGGGAGGGGAAGGAGGGGGAAGAGAGGGAGAGGCGGCCTCCGAAGGCAACCAGAGGCCCCCTCCGCGAGGAGGAGGAGAGGAGGAGGAAAAGGAGGAGCAGAAGGAGGAGGAAAAAGAGGAGGATGAGCCTGAAGTGCGGCGCGCTACATGAAGCGGCGGCCGCCTGCGGGCCACGGGGTGCGTGGCAACTGCCTGAGCCCCAGCCGTCCTGGGAGGCCCGCCATCAGCTGCGGCATCTCTGCGAGCCGAAGTCTGCGGCAGCTCTGCGGAGCGCGCCACAGTCGCCTCCGGTCGCCCCCCAAGCCCGCTGCCGCGGGCATCAGGGCTGTCGCGTGGGCATGTCCCACCAGCCCTCTGGGCGCAGGAGGTCTAACGACATCTTTGCCTTCCTCTTCCAGAGACCCCTTCTTCCCCTCCGGGGAGGGGTGTACCCCTCCCCCCTACCCCCTGCCCTCGACCTGGACGGGGGGTTCGCGAGGTGTCAGAGGGTCCTTTTTCGCCAAAGATGGCTCCAGAAGGGCCTCAGAGAGCCCAAGATAGCCTCCAAGATCGCTCAAGATGGCCCACCATGGCTCAACGTAGCTAACAACATGCCTCCAAGAGGCCCCGAGAGAGCCACAAGACGATTGCAGGTGCTTTTGGCGACCGCTCAGGATTTCCCCGAGAAGCCAAAATCCTTCAAAAACCTGAGGAGCATGTGGCGACGCCCGCGGCCCAAAAAATCAACGAATCGACACCGAATGTGAAATCACTTCCGATGGCTGTTTCGTGGGGGGCATTTTCCAGATTGTGGGGCCGATTTGGAAGGACCAAAAACCATGCCGTGGCATGGCGCTGGAAATAATGACGCCAACGCTGCAGCGGGAGCACGATTCGGAACGAGCGGAATCGCGGAAATGAGGCCAGCGCTGCAGCGGGAGCACGATTCGGAACGAGCGGTAGCCCGAAAATGAGGCCAGCTCTTCAGCGAGAGCAGCAGTTTGAAAAACAAAAAAAAACAAAAAAACGTTTCCCGGAAATCCTGTCGAAAACAGTACGCGGAGGGGGGGGCGAATAGTTCCCGGACGTCACCAGGGGAGAAAGGAAGTTAGTATTCATAGTGTGTAATTGTCAAGGAGGAGGAGGAGGAGGAGGGGAGGAGGACGACGGAGGAGGAGGAGGAGGAGGAGGAGGGGGAGGAGGAGCAGGAGGAGGAGCAGGAGGAGGAGGGGGAGGAGGAGGAGGAGGAATAGGAGGAGGTGAGGTTGGAGGAGCACTGTCCCGGACGGCCCCTGGAGGAGGGGAACATCGGCCCCAGGCTGAGTTCGCTCCCGAACTCCTTCCTGGACCGAGCCCACCCTCTGCGCACCCTCGGCTCGTCCCGAGCCGTCCGCCTGAACGGCCCGCGGGCCCGGGAGAGGATCTCTGGACGCCGAGAAGCTGCGAAAAGCTGAGGTCGGCGTCTCCTCCTCGACCTTCGTGCCCACGCCGTCCAGCGAGTTCGAGTACTTCGTGAGGTCGACGGCCACCACGTGCTGCACGATGACGGTGGAGGACGCCCTGCACCACACCTCCGCGCGGCCCGAAGGAGTAGGAAGATGAGGAACATAAGCAGCAAGAAAATGAGGAGGAAAAGTGAAAAGGGCCAGGACGACAACGACGACGAGAAAGGAGGGAGAGGAGGACAGCGAGAGAGGAAGCCGAACAAGTCCAAGAGACAACAATGCTGCTGCGATACGCCCTCGCATCCCGAGCCCACTGTTCAATAGGTCCTGCACAGCACTCGTTGCCGCCGCGCGCCGAGCCACACGTCGGGTGGGCAGGCCCATAGCGGGCAGGTCGGGAAGGCGGGCCCAGGCGACGGGGTCGAGCAGGCGGGTTGCTGAAGCGTGCGTCCTGCATGAATCGGGAGGAAGTCTCGAGCGATAGCGCGATTCCAAAGTAAATCGTGAGAAAAGCCAGCGTGGGCCACGAAGGGCATAAAATCCGAGGCCACTGAGGGCAACGACGGGGCCACTGAGGGCAGCACCGGGGCCACGAAGGGCAGCGAGGGGGCCACAAAGGGCGACAGCGGGGCCACGAACGGCATGCATATGGGGCCACGACGGGCGCGAGCGAGCGGGGGCCACGAAGGGTATTCGTATATGGGGCCAGAAAGGGCGACAGCGGGGCCACTGAGGGAAAGGGGCCGCGAAGGGCAGCGAGGGGGCCACGAAGGGCGACAGCGGGGCTACGAAGGGCATCCGTATGGGGCCACGACGGGCGCGTGCGAGCGGGCAGCAACGGGGCCACCAAGGGCAGCGAGCGAAGGCGACCGCGGAACCAGTACGGGCAGCGAGGGGCGAAAGCAGGCGAAGGGCAGCGAGCGGCGACTGCAGTCATTAACGGACTGGTCGGGCGGGAAGGCCCCGAAGGGCGGGTCGAGCGGGCGGGTCGTTGAAGCGTGAGTCCTGATTGAACCGCCAGGCAATATGTAGCGGGACCGCGATTCCTGAGTGTCTAGGGCCGGCATCTGAAGAAATTGTGGGGGGAAGTATCAAGCGAAGCGGTTCGGTGGGAAGTTGCGAGGAAGTCCCAAGCGAGAACGCGGTTCTGCAATAATTTGTCTGGAAATATCAAGCGGAAGCCGCGATTCGGTGGTAAATTGCCAGGAAGTCCGAAGCGAGAGCGCGATTCGGGAATAAATTGTGAGGAAACCTCAGGCGGGAGCCGCTATTCTAAACCGGTGACCAACGACACAGTTTGACCCTTACGATTTTCCCTTATAAAAAAACAGGGTGCGAGCCCTGGGAGGGGCACTTCAATCGAAAAAAATGTAATGTGCACCGCCAACAACAACAACAACAACAACAACAACAACAACAACAACAATAGCAACAACAATAACAACAATCATTTTAAGACTGTTCGCTCTTATCTGCGAATGTGCCATTCAACACGCAAATCCCGAACCCTCGATACCCGCCCTCGTCGCCTTCGACCGTACCCCCTTGGGGATATATCCTTCCTACCTGCAACGTGTACTTCCTGCAGCCCCTGAGGGAGGGGAAGAGAGGACGGATGGAAGGAAGGGACAAGGGGGAGGGAGGAGGATGGAGCACGAGAGAGACCAGGAGGAGGGGGCTAGGAGCAGAAAGCACGTGGCAGAACCAGACGGGCAGATCGGGCGGGTAGACGCTACCAGGCGGATCGGGAAAGAGGACCCAGGCGGCCAGGTCGAGCAGGCGGGTTGCTCAAGCGTGCGTCCTGCATGAATCGCGAAAAAATCTCGAGCGACAGCTCGATTTACACATCAATCGTGAGGAAATCCACAGCAAGAGCGTGATTCCAGAATATCGAGGACGCCGCGTCTGAACAAATTGCGAGGAAGACCCACGCGAGAGCGCGATTCCTAAATAAAGTGTAAGGACGTCCCGCGCGAGAGCGCGATTTGGCAATCAATTGTGAGAAAGTATCAGACGAGAGCCGTTGTTGTTGTAGTTCGGGGGCCAGGGGCGCAGTTTGAGGAAGAAGACCTTCCCTGAGAAAAAAAAACAAGGTGCGAGCCCCGGGAAGGGTTTTTCAATTGAAAAACACACATGTTACTGGAGGGGAATCAACAAAATGATTCTTCAATATTGAAAGTTCAACAAACGCCCTGGATGTGGGGACAAGAACAAAGATCGAAGCTCCACAAAGCGACAGAGACTCTACAAAAGGCGACAATGATGACGACGACGACGACGACGACGACGACGAAATGACAACAACGACGACGACGACGGCGGCGACGACGACGACGGCGGCAACGGCGCAGGGACGATGACGACGACGACGAAGACCACGGCGACGGCAACGACGGCGATACCGACGGCGAGGACGATGTCGACGACGAACTGACATGGAAAAACGGGCCCTGAGGGAAGCGGGTCCTGACCTGATGATACCAGAGGGCTCTCAAGCTGCGATTGCGCACTCTTTCTGCCCAGCTCTAGGACTTGTCTTGCGACTTCTGAGTCTCGGCGACTACGGTTCGCAACACCTCCACGTCCTTCCCCCGGGGGCAGCATTTCATATTGAGTCCTTTTTGTTGACGGTCCCGAGGCCCAGGAAGGGCCCCAGGAGCCCAAAAACATCGACAAAGCCAAGGGCCCGCTTGCATCATGGCGACAGCGCTGCGACGACGACGACAACGACGACGACGACGACGAACCACGACGACGACAATGACGACGACGACGACGACGACGACGACGACGACGACGACGACGACGACGGCGGCAACGGCGACGGCGACGGCGACGACGGACGACGACGACGCGCGACGACGACGACGACGACGACGACGACGACGACGACGACGACGACGACGACGACGACGGCGGCAACGGCGACGCGACGGCGACGACGGTGACGACGGCGACGTCGACGACGACGACGACGACGACGACGACGACGACGACGACGACGACGACGACGACGACCTGCCCCCCGCGGGCACCCCCAGGGAGCCAGACTTCCGCACTGAGTCGCCGAGCTGGACCTGCCCAATCTGCCTCGAGGGCAGGGGCGAGTCTTTTTGAGAACAAGGAAGGGCAGAGGAAGGGCTGGTCTCCTCCTCCTCCTCCTCCTCTTCCTCCTCCCTCCTCCTCCTCCTCCTCATCCTCCTCCTCCTCCTCATCCTGCCTCCTCCTCCTCCTCCTCCTCCTGCCTCCTCCTCCTCCCCCCTCCTCCCTCCTCCTCCTCCTCCTCCTCCACCCTCCCCCTCCCCCTCCCCCCCACCTCCTTCTCTTCCTCCTCTTCCTCCTCCTCCTCCTCCTCATCATCATCATCAGCATCATCATCCTCATCATCAGCAGCATCAACAACATCATCATCATCCACTTAGTACTATTCCTCGTCCTCAACATCCTCATCACCATCATCATCATCGTCAGCCGCATCATCATATAGTACTCAGCATAATCCTCATCACCATCAAAATCAGCATAATCGCGACCATCACGATCACTCATCATCATCAGCATCATCATCATCAGCAGCAGCAGCATCAGCATCATCATCATCATCATCATCATCATCATCATCATCATCATCATCATCATCATCATCATCATCATCATCATCATCATCATCATCATCGTCATCATCGGCATCATCAGCATCATCAACACCACCATCATCATCAGAATTATACCGGATATAAGCCCAAATCATAATATGGTAGGCCTAAAGGGCTATAGGGCTATAGGGCTATATGACCATAGGTATCTAGGGTTATGAGGCTATCGGGCTATGGGGCTATAGGCATACAGAGCTATAGGGCTATAGGGCTATAGGGCTACAAGGCTATAAGGCTATAGGGCTATAGGCCTATGTGGCTATAGTGCTACAGAGTTACAGGGCTATAGGGCGTTAGGGCTATAGGGCTATAAGGCTATGGGGCTAGAGGGCTAGAGGGCTGTAGGGCTATAGGACTATAGGGTTATAGGGCTATAGGGCTATAAAGCTATAGGGCTATAGGGCTATAGGGCTATGGGGCTATGGGGCTATAGGGTTATAGGGCTATAGGGCTATACGGCTATGGGGCTATAGGGCTTTAGGGCTATAGGACTATAGGGCTATAGGGTTATAGGGCTATAGAGCTATCGGGCTATAGGGCTATAGGGCTATAGGGCTATAGGGCGATGGGGCTATGGGGCTATAGGGCTATAGGGCTATAAGGCTATAAGGCTATAGGGCTATAGGGCTATAGGGCTATTGGGCTATAGAGCTATAGGGCTATAAGGCTAAAGGGCTATGGGGCTATAGGGCTACAGGGCTATAAGGCTATAGGGCAGGCTATAAAGCTGTAAGGCTATAGGGCTATAGGGCTAACGGGCACCTGGGCTCCCGGGCACCCGGGCACCCGGGCGTGCCGCCGAAATCGGCGCCATACCTCACCTAACCATATGAATCCGCTAGGACCCCTACAGAGGCAAGCTTTGATTGGGGAATCATCCTCATCATCATCATCACCTGCATCATCACCATACTCGCCATTATCACAATCACCTGTGGCATCATCAACAACATCACCATCAGCAGCATCATTATCAACAGCAGCAGCATCCTCATCAGCATCACCATCACCACCACCACCACCATCATCATCATCATCATCAGCATCATCAGCATCATCAGCAGCAGCATCATCAGCATCAGCAGCATCATCATCATCATCAGCATCATCGTCATCAGCATCATCATCATCATCATCATCATCATCATCATCATCATCATCATCGAAATCATCAGCATCATCATCAGCAGCATCATCATCATCCTCATCACCAGCATCAGCATCATCAGCAGCATCATCATAATCATCATTAGCAGCATCAGCAGCATCATCAGCATCCTCATCAGCATCGTCAGTATCAGCATCACTATCACAATCAGCATCAGCATCATCATCACCACCACCATCATCATCAGCATCATCATCACCACCACCATCATCTTCATCGCCAGCAGCATCATCATCACCACCATCTTCATCGGCATCATAATCATCAACATCATCATCAGCATCAGAATCATCCTCATCATCAGCAATAGCAGCATACTCATCATCACCAGCATCGTTATCATCATGCTTAGCACCATCATCTTCATCATCATCACCACCACCACCGCCATCAACAACATCAACCTGCTACCACGCCTCATCCTCATCATCCTCGTCCTCCGTATCACCCGCATCAGCCTGAAGCTCATCCTGATCCTTCCACATCGTCTGCCTTGGCTTCCTCATCAGTTTGCTCATCCTCCTCCTTCTCGTTTCGAGTTGAGCGTACTTCAAGATCTGGGCTTGCAGCGCTCCTTGGAAAAATGCGACCAACACGCACCGTCGAATGTCCGACTTCGGCGCAGAGCGCATGGTGAGCCTGGTGGGACGGAAAATGGACGCCCGAGGAACGGAAAAAGAACCAAGCCCGAGCGAACGCAGAATCCCACCAGCCCTCCGGGCGTCGGTGGTTTAGTGCGTTTCTCTTCCACCCCTCCCTCTTCCCCTTCGGGGAGGGGTTTATCACTGTTCCCTATTAATAAACAACCCCTCCCCCAGGCGACTGGGGGCCAGCCAGGCCTCCCCACCATCCCTGTCAAAAAACCATACAGAGTACACTTGGCGGCGGCGGCGGCTGCGGCGGCTGCGGCGGCGGTGGCGGCGGTTCCGGCGGCTGCGGCGGCGGCGGCTGCGGCGGCGGCGGCGGCGGGGGCGGGGCGGCGGCGGCGGCGGGGCGGCGGCGGCGGCGGCGTGCGGCAGCGGCAGCGGCTGCGGCGGCGGCGGCGGTTTGGCAGCGTGGGGCGGCGGCGGCGGCGGCGCGGCGCGGCGGGCGGCGGCGGCGGCGGCGGCGGCTGGCTGAGGCGGCGGCGGCGGCGGCGGCGGCGGTGGCGGCGGTAGCGGTGGCGGCAGCGGCTGCGGCGGCGGCCGCGCGGTTTGGCAGCGGGGGGCGGCGGCGGCGGCGGCGGCGGCGGCGGCGGATTGGCCCCCAGTAGCTGCCCATCCAAAGACGACTGCTGAATATGCTGAGGCTCGGGCCAGACTCGGGTGCTACGTATGTGTTGGGAGGGCGGGTGGGGGTGAACGAGACGGCTTGCGGGCGGGGAGGGGGTAACTTGATCCCTCCCCCTGCCCCCTCCCCTGGACTTGGACGGGGGGCGCCGCGGGTAGTAAGAGCGTCCAACACGGCCTCGGCGAGGAAGCCAAAATCATGGATGTTACAGGGGTTTTGGCCCAATTTCGGCCTCCTGGGGGGGGGAACCTTAATTGAGGGACCCCCTTTCGGTGACCGATTTCCTCCAAGATGGCCCCAAGAAGCGCCCAGGAGGCCCCAAGAGGTCCCAAGATGGCCCCAAGATGGCCCCACGAGGCCCCCAAGAGGCCCCCAGAAGGCCCCCAAGAAGACCCTAAGCGGCCCGAAGAGGCCCCCCCCGAGGCACCCAAGACCCCGATGAGCCCCCCAGGCTCGCCCAGAGACCCTCAAGACGTCCCAAGAGGCCACGAAGAATCGCCCAAGAGATACCCCAAGAGGCTCCGAGAGGCATCCAAGAGACCTCTGGCCCTTGTGTTTGCCGACCTCCTACTGTTCCTCCTTCCTGTTCCTACTCTTTCTCTTATTCCTCCTCCTCCTCCTCCTCCTCCTCCTCCTCCTCCTCCTCCTCCGCCTCCTCCTCATCCTATTCATCCTCTTCTTCCCACTCCCTCATCCATCCATCCATCAATTTCCTCCTTCTCCTCCTCACTCCTTTGCACGGTTCGACCGTCCTCCTCTTTGCTGCCGCATTTCCTTGATCACCTCAACTCGCCTGGACATCGTTTCTGGATGGGCTGGTCGGGATATTTTTTAGTCAGCGGCCGCGGGCGAGCGCGCCGGCGGCGAGTCAGGTGGCTGGTGGGGATATTGTTTTGACTGGCGGCTCGCAAGGACAGATCCAGGAAGCGGGACGGTTTCGGCTGGGGCACAGGGCGAGATAATTGGCAACGACGGCGCATAGGCCGACGCAGCAAGTGCACGCGCCAGGGACAAAATGTCCCCCATTAAGATGCTGCCGACCCGGAAGCGGGGATGCGGGCATCAGAAGGAAACTGACGGAGGAGAAGTCACACAGTGGCGCCAGCTCAGCCCGTACCGACCAGCGCGTAAGGGCGTGGGTCACGCCGCGCTGTGGCAGCACGGAGGGCCAGTGAGGCCGCACCGCCCAACACGACGAGGAGGCGAAGGAGCGGGGAAAGGCGGCGGGCGCGAGGGCACGCGAGGACAGAAGTGGGGGGGAACCGAGGAACGCCTCACTCACAAGGACTCCTGGAAGTGCTCGGGCATGACCGACCGACCTATGCAGGAAAGTCCTCCCAGTCTTCCGCCCCTGTCTTCCGAGTCCACAACCTGCAACGGCCTGACTTGAAAGCCAGGGGGATACATCTGCAAGCATGGGCCGAGCACCACGGACCACCCTGCGGGAGGGCCGAGAAGCACTGCCAAAGGATGTACCACTTGTGCGGTAGCAGGAGCTCGAAGGCGGCGCCCGCCGTGGGAAGCGAGGCAACCAAGTCGTCGGCGCACAACGCGGGCAGCTTATCCGTCACGGGGGACGGGGGCACAAGATGCGAGCGTCAACTGAGGTAGCAGGGACGGACCTGATGGGGGACCTGCTCACCTCCCTGCGCGGGGAGGGGGGAGGTGTGTGGGGAATTGGGATCTGAGCTGCATCCATCGCAACATCAGGGAGCGCTCCTTCCCCCACTGGTTGTGTCTCTTCCTCTGCTGGGCAGGGGGGAGATGCAACCGGAGCTGACATCGGTTCTGTGTCAGGCGCGCCTGAGTGTGGGGGCTGCTCCCTGCGGGGGTTTGGAGGATCGATCGATCGCAGCGGCTGGGCTCCCATGCCATGCACTGCACAATCCCTATCCTCGTCCCCTCCGTCCGGTGGACCGAGCATCGCCTGGGCCGCGGGCGTCGCCAGCGCCCCGGGGGAATCGCGAGCGAGGTGTAGTGAAGCGTGCGGCCCGGGGCAGGGGGGTGGCGCGGCGTCCGGGCGCCCCCTTGAGCGCGGGAGACTGGCCTGAGGGGACCAGGCCCACGCGAAGCGTCTAGAATTCCTCCTCATCCTCCTCCTCCTGCTCCTCCTCATCATCATCCTCCTTCTACTCATCCTCCTGCTCCTCCTCCTCCCGCCCCGCTATCCCTCCGACGCCCCCGGCCTGGCCTGTGCTCAAGGAAGAGCGCGACCGTGTCGTGGACGGCCCTGACCTTGCCACGGGGCAGCCGGCCGCCCGGACGCCGTCGCTGAGCCTCTGACTCCTACCCCATGACGGACGGGATCCCGGGAGGCGCCCAATACCCGTGAATGCCCGTGCGAGATGTGGCAGCGAATGCCCTCCTCCTCCTCCGCCTCCTCCTGCTCCTCCTCCTCCTCATCATCCTCCTCCTCTTCCTTCTCCCCCCCTCCTCCTCCTCCTCCTCCTCCTCCTCCTCCTCCTCTCCTCCTCTCCTCCTCCTCCTTCCTCCTCCTCCTCCTCCTCCTCCTCCTCCTCCTCCTCCTCCTCCTCCTTTGCCTCCGCCATCATCAGCAGCATCATCATCATCAGCAGCATCAGCATCAGCATCAGTATATCAATAAACATCAGCATCATCATCATCATCATCATCGTCATCATCATGAGCGTCAGCATCCTCAGCATCATCATGATCAGCATCTTCATCTTCATCATCATCATCATCATCATCATCATCATCATCATCATCATCAGCAGCATCATAATCATCACTATCAGCATGATCACCATCACCATCACCATCACCATCACCAACACCACCATCAGCATCATCACCATCAGTATCATCATCATCATCGTCATCAGCAGCAGCATCCTGATCGTCATCAGCATCAGCATCATAATCATCACTATCAGCATGATCATCATCACCATCAACATCATCATCATCATGATCATCAGCATCATCATCGTCATCGTCATCATCACAATCACCATCACCATCATTAGTATCCGCATCATCATCGGTATCGTCAACGGCGTGGTCCCTCGATAAATATACAGTACGAATAATCATACTTGCCGTCATCATCATCATCATCATCAGCATCATCATCACCGTCATCATCATCATCATCATCATCATCATCATCATCATCATCAGCATCAGCATCAGCATCAGCATCATCATCAGCATCAGCATCAGCATCACCAGCAGCATCATCAGCAGCAGCAGCATCAGCATCAGCATCTGCAGCCTCAGCATCTCCATCACCAGCATCCTCACAATGATCAACAGCAGCAACAGCATCAGCAGCATCTGCATCATCATCAGGGCCAACATCGTCAGCATCACCACCATCAACATCAGCATCACCATCACCATCATGAGCATCAGCATCAGCATCAGCATTATCATCATCATCAGCAGCATCATCATCAACATCATCAACCTCATCAACATCAGCATCAAAATCTTCACCAACACCGCCAGCATCATAATCACCACCACCGTCACCACCATCATCACCAAAATTACCATGCTCGTCATCATCATGATCAGCAGCAGCATCAGCATCGTCATCACCATGATCATCATCATCATCATCATCATCATCATCATCATCATCATCATCAGCATCAGCATCAGCATCAGCATCAGCATCATCAAAGGTCATCAGCATCGTCAGGATCGACAACATCATCATAATCATCATCATCAGCATCATCATCGTCATCAGCATCATCATCGTCATCATCATCAGCATCATCATCATCATCATCATCATCATCATCATCATCATCATCATCAGCATCAGCATCAGCATAAACATCATCAGCAACATCAGCATCATCAGCATCAGCATCATCACCATCACCGTCACCATCATCGTCATCATCAGAAGCATCATCAGCATCATCACTATCACCACCATCATCATCAGCATCATCACCACCACCACCATTATCATCTTCATGAGCATCACCACCACCACCACTACCACCATCATCATCACCAGCATCATGATCAGCAGCATCATCATCATCAGCATCATCAGCATCATCATCATCGTCATCAGCATCGTTGTCATCATCATGCTCAGCATCATCATCATCATCATCATCATCAGCATGAGCATCATCATCATCAGCATCATCCGTATCATCATAATCATCATCATCAGCATCAGCACCATCATCATCATCATCATCATCATCATCATCATCATCATCATCATCATCATCATCGTCATCGTCATCTGTCACCATTCTATTCCTCCTCCCTCGTTCTCCTCCTCCTCCTCCGCCTCCTGCTCCTGCTCCCCCTCCTGATCTTCCTCCTCCGCTTCTGCTGACCCCCCCCCCATCCCCCTCATCATTTCCCTTCCATTTGCCCTCCTCCTCCTCCGCCCTCCGCCCTCCTCTTCCTCCTCCTCCTCCTCCTCCTCCTCCGCCCTCCTCCTCCTCCTCCTCCTCCGCCTCCTCATGTCATCGTATGCCTCCTCATCCCTCCCCTTTTCCTCCTCGTGTTCCTTCGCCCTGCCCGCTCGGGCCCGAATCTGAAACCAGCTGCCGATGGGAAGGTCCTCCTCGTCTGCGTCGCAGCAGAAGAGCTCGCCGTACTCGTTCACGCCAAGCTGGTTGGGGTACTGCAGGAGCTTCACTCTCCTCGCCCCGGTCTCCTTCCACAGCGGGGCCAGGAAACTCTCGGGCCGTGATCACGCGGGCGACCTTTCGGTCAGGCGGATGTTGGACGAAAAAATGGGAAATAGTTACAAAATGCACAAACATGTTCCCAGAGATCATCGAAAAATCGTCCCCGGAATATTCCTTGACTGTCTGAACATTCCTCCTGTAGAGGGACACGCCCGACTTAAGGCTACCTCGAGAGGTCTCCAGAGGCCGCCCAGGGGCCTCTGGAGGCCCCGGGAGCTTCCAGGAGGTGCCCGGGAGCCCCTGAAGAGAGAACACCCGTGCGCGCGCCGTCGTGGCACAGGGACCTTGAGCAGGGACCGACCGTCGTGGCATCTCTATAGGCCTACCACGAAATGTCCTTCGAACCCGGACATGTTCTAAGAACAAAAAAAAAAAAGCTCTTAGAACAGATTCCCGATGTGTAAACACGAGACAGCCCCGGCCAGAAATGTTCTGAGAACATCTCGTGGAAGCCACAGAGGTTCTGGGAACGTTCTTTGGTAGGCCTATAGGCACGCCAGGACGCTTCGCCACTGCTTGAAGGCAGGCGAGGCCGCCGTTGTGCCTTTGCATTCCTTTGTCGTCGTCGTCGTCGTCGCCGCCACCGCCGCCGCCACCTCTATCGACCAGAGGCTGATAAGGAGACCTGATGCGGTTATGGGTACGACCAGGGGTGAGAAGAAGTCTTTCCTTCGGTTTTTCGAGGACAGCTGAGAGCGCACCGGACACCGCGGACGACAAGGTGCTTCACCCGCCAATCAACCCTATCTCCAGGCAATCTGATTTGAGGGTCGGAGACGGTCAAAAAGAAAAGACAACGCTTCCCAAGGCCGCCGCCGCCGCCTGGCTCTCGGACATCAGGCCACGCAAAGCCCCCCAGAGTCGAGCGTCGGCACAGACCGATACACCACCGGCGAGAGGCCAGCCTCGAGCTCCTGGCCAGGCCCGTGGCGACTCCGCACGAACCAGGAGCTGGCCCTGGGGAAAATCGAGTCCTTTGGGGGGCGGAAAGATACGGATACGTGTTGTCCCCGGACCTCTCTTGGGGTGCGTTCTGACCAGAATTTCGAGGCGAATCCAGCGGTGACAACGAGGATTCCCCAGCGTGTCCGTATCTTTGTCCCCCGAGTCCTGGAGACTCTGCGAGCTGGTCGGGGGGAGAGCCCCGGCGTCGAGGGCCCGTTGCCCTCGGGGCCCCTCTCCCACCGACCCCTCGGGGCCCAGGCTCTGCCGGGGCAGGGCCCGTAAGATGGTCCGCTGGCGCCCCGCGCCCTCATGGCGAGGAGAAGCGCCCAGAGATCCGACGTCCTGAGTTTCCAACCCGGTGCCCCCGGAAGTCCCGACCCTTTCCCCGAGGCCGACCTTGCGGTCTGAGTCGATGCTCAAATAGGGAAGCAGCAATGACATAAACATACAAACTCGGAGGTCCACGCGGAGTTCTCGGATCGGCGCCCGACCCCCCTCCCTGGCCCGCGGAGCGCGCCGGCGGAGGCGCCGACAGAGGGGTCCAGCGTTAAGTCGGGCCTGTCCCTCTACAGGAGGAAAATTCAAAAAATTGTGGAAAAAAATAGTCTTGGGACGAGTTTTGACCATTCTTGAGCATTCTAAGGATATGTTTAACGATTTTCTATTTTTCTTCCAAAATCCCGCTGTAGGGGGACAAGCCCGACTTAAGTCCAGCGCGGATCCGAGCAATCCGCGCGGACCTCGGAGTTCTTATGTTTACGTCCTGGTGCGCTCCCCGATTAAACGGTCCCCGGACCCGGCGCGGGGCCCCCAGAGCCCAGAAAAACGATGAGGACCATCCACCTTTTGATCCTCCGGGGCACCTCCGCGCGAACGCAGACATAAAAAAAGCCCAGCATCGAATCGAGAAGCCAGGTTGGCGGTCGACATGAACCGGATCGGCGGAGATCGGCCGCCGAGTCGGGAAACGCCAGATCGGCGGAAGTCGGCGGGCTAGTATGCCTCCAAGAAGAAATCGGAACCCATATCGGAGTCCCAAGTCGAATCGAATCGGAGTCGGAAGCCATCGAAATCGAATCGAATCGAATCGGAATCGAAATGAGCCCTGCGGACGGGTGAAGGCGCACACCGAGCGCGCCCGCGCGGGCGCCGACGGGGACTCCCGCGGCTGGGCATGCCTGTTCTGGTTGTTGCTGGCGATAGGCTGGGTTGTGCGGGTTATCCGCTGGGGGGGAGGTGCCAGCCGAGAACCTAATCTTCTCGCGGGCCGTTTTGAAAATGTGGCTCTCGCCTTCACGCCGCGCACTCTCGTCTTCAAAGTTTGCAACGGCTTCACAGATGGAGGGCGGGCAGCTTCCAAAATGTGGCTCTCGCCTCAGCGCCGCGCTCATTCGTCTTCGAAGTTTGCAACAAGTGCACGGATGGAGGGCGGGCCGTTTTCAAAATGTGGCTCTCGGCTTATCGCCGCGCACAAGCGTCTGCAGGTTGATAGCAGTTTCAAGCGTTCGTACGGTCAAAGTCCCAGTACGCTTTAAAACTGTCAGGGCGCAACTGTCACACTGATTCGCTGTGTTGAAGTTCCATGAATGGTGTCCAGACACGAAGTCGGAGGAACTTTGTTTTGGCATGATTGAGGACTATCAGACGCTTGTCTTCTAATGGGCCGCTTCTCGAAATGCGAATGACTTTTTGGGGGACCTGTTGAAAGGGAACTTGGAGGGAGGGCTTATTGCAACATCGTTGATGGATCTTGGATTTGCACTGGCCTTCCTCCTCCTCCTCCTCCTCCTCCTCCTCCTCCTCCTCCTCCTCCTCCGCCTCCTCCATTCTCCTTCCTAACCCCCTCTGTCTACTGCCAGTACCTCCCTCCGCCTCCCCCCCTCCCACGCCCCCCCTTCACGCCCACTTTCCGAGGCCGGGTCGCCCCGGGGGCTCTCCTCCTCGACGTTGACCGCGAACAGCAGGTGCTCGGACCCGTGCGCGTCGTCGTCGCACCGGAAGACGAGGCCGGCGGCGTCGCTCTCCTCCTCGTGTGCAAAAGCGAACCCCGCGGGGGCAGGCGGGAGGCGCGGGGCTTCGCAGAGGGCTCTGCTGAAGGGCCTCCGGCCCTCTCAGAAGTTGCCTCCGCCTGCTCCGAAGACGGGGGCGGCTTCTCAAGAGGCCCGAAGGCTTCTGAGAAGCCCCGTCGCCTTCCGAGAAGGCCTGCCCCCCCGCTGGGCCTGGCGGCCCTCGGGCCACCACTCGGGCCCCTGGCGGCCGCTCGGGACGACCCGGGCACCCCCGAAGCTGCCGGCGAGGCGCAGCTGCTGGAGAGCGCCCCGAAGCTGAAAAACCGGAGAGCCTGGGAAAGGAAAGCGTCCAACAACGTCCCGATCGTCCGACGACGGCGGCCCCCCCGCCCTCCCACCTCCCCCCAGGGCTCGCCGCCGACCCCTCCCACCCCGCCAGAGAGACCCTCGGGCCGTGATTGCGCGGGCCGCCCCTGGTCCAGGGGCCCCCCGGCGGGCGCCCCAGACGTGGTCCGAGGACGCGGCTCCTTCGGCACGGAGCCCCACGAGGTGTCAACCAGCTGCCCACGGGGGAGAGTCTCGCCCCAGGTCCACGTTTTAATGGCCCTGGGGCCTGACAGCTGGCCCCCCTGGGGTCCGAAATGAAGCAAGAAGCAGCGACATGAGCATAAGATCCGCGCGGAGCTGCTAAGGCTTATGTTTACGCCGACTTCTTCTGTTTCTATAAAGGGCACGGAGAGCGCCGGCAGTGACAAAACAGTCCATCGGATGCCCAGGACCTCGAGAGGCTGCCCTGACCCAACTTTTTGTTTGCGTCGGCAGCTAGGCAGGGTCGTCTGCGCTGGCAGAAGGAGCTATAAACGGAGATACCGTTTAGCGAATTGTGCCACAATGCAGGAAAATGGGAGAGAACAGGAGGGCGACAGCAGAGGGGGGGAATGGCCAGGGCCGCTCAGGGGGACGGGTCACGCCGGCTTAATGCTGCCCTGACCCCACACGCGCGTGCTGCATGTTCTGAGCGTGTCTCTCCCCGTGCTGCCTTCCATCTGCTCTTCCGTCCTGCCCGGGGCACACTTCCTCCTGCCCCTCCTCCTCCTCCTCCTCCTCCTCCTCCTCCTCCTCCTCCTCATCTCCTCTCCTCTTCCCCTCCCCCTCCCCCTCCCCCTCCCCTCCGCCTCCCCTCCGCCTCCTCTCCTCCTCCTCCTCCCTCCTCCTCATCCTCCTCCTCCTCCTCCCTCATCATCATCCTCATCATCATCATCACATCATCATCATCATCACATCATCATCTCATCAGCATCATCATAAATCATCTCATCATCATCATCATCCATCATCCTCATCATCATCATCATCATCATCATCATCATCATCATCATCATCATCTCCACCAACCACACCACCACCACCCATCATCATCATCATCATCATCATCATCATCATCATCATCATCATCATCATCAGCATCATCATCATCAGAAGCAGCAGCAGCAACAGCAGCATCATCATCATCATCATCATCATCATCATCATCATCATCATCATCATCATCATCATCGTCGTCATCGTCATCGTCATCGTCATCATCATCAGCATCATCATCATCATCAGCAGCAGCATCATCAGCATCAGCATCAGCATCAGCATCATCACCATCACCATCACCATCACAATCACCATCACCATCATCATCATCATCATCAGCAGCAGCATCAGCATCAGCATCAGCATCAGCAGCATCAGCATCAGCATCATCATCAGCATCATCATCATCAGCATCATCATCATCACCATCATCAATCATCATAACCATCACCATAATCATCATCATCATCAGCATCATCATCATCATCATCAGCATCATCATCATCAGCATCGTCATCATCATCATCATCAGCAGCAGCATCATCAGCATCGTCATCATCATCATCAGCATCAGCAGCATCATAATCATCATCATCATCATCATCATCAGCATCATCAGCAACGTCCCCATCATCATCGTCAACAACATCATCATCAACAGCATCACCACAATCATTATCATCAGCAGCAGCAGCATTATCATCATCAGCATCATCATCGGCATCATCATCATCATCATCATCATCATCAGCATCATCATCAACAGCATCAGAATCGTCAGCACCATCATCAGCATCCTCATCATCATCAGCATCATCATCAACCGCATCGCCATCATCATCATCATCATCATCATCATCATCAGCAGCAGCAGCATCAGCATCATCATCATCAGCATCAGCATCATCATCAGCAGCATCATCGTGATCGTCAGCAGCAGCAGCACCATCATCATCATCAGCATCGTCAGCATCATCAGCATCATCAGCATCAGCAGCATCATCATCATCATCATCAGCATCAGCATCGGCATCATCATCAGTATCATCAGCAGCATCAGCATCGTCATCATCATCATCAGCAGCATCAACATCATCATCACCATCATCGTCAGCATCACCAGCATCATCATCATCGTCATCATCATCAGCAGCATCAGCATCATC